TGCCGGATCGCCGCCGTCCATCGCCCTCAGCACCAGCTCGTGAAACGCCGCCTCCTCCCGGTCCAGCGCCTTCGCCAGCACCAGCTCGGGACGCTGATCGCCGCCGGGGCCCGCCTGCACGGCCAGCGAGAAGTGCTCGTCACCGCTCAGCTCGTAGCTCTGCAGGGAATTCTGGCCCGAGTCCGGATCGTGAGCCTCGGCCAGTGGAAACCGTGACCCCGGGGCTGTCGTCTCGCTTATTGTCTCTTCCAGCTCAACTTCCTTGAAGCTGGGAGCGTTGTCGTTAATATCCATAATTTGCACTTCTATTCGATAAACCTTCATTTCGCCCTCCACTATCAGCTCACAGCGCAGCACGCATTGCTGCACACTCTCACACAGCTGCTCTCTGTCGATCCTTTCTGCCGTCACTAAATGTCCCGTCTTCCCATGTAGAGCGAAATACTGAGTGTTACCTTCAGAAACAATGCGGGCACCGTTGTCTCGGAGCGCCGTCAGCTGCAGCCCCAGGTCCTTGGCCACGTCGCCCACGAACGAGCCCTTGGGCATCTCCTCGGGCACCGAGTAGCGCAGCTGCCCCCACGCCGCCTCCCACGCCGCCAGCAGGACGGCCCAGAGCAGAGCTCGCTGCCGCCGGCCCCAGCGCCTCCCCGCCGCGCACATCTCCGCTGAGGCACCGAGCAGGTCCCCACCACCGATTTGCGATCCGAGCTCCTGCACCGAGCTGCTTCTGCCGTCCCCTCCGCCTCGCTCCGCCCGGTTCCGCAGAGCGAGGACGATCGCGGATCGCCCGCCGACAAGCCTGTCAGGTAGCTAGCGACCGAGCGAGTCTGTCCGCAGAGGGCGGGGCTGCAGCGCTCCGAGCTTCCTCTCGCTCCTCTCGGTCAACAGCGGCGCCCGCAGCCTCCTCTCGGCACTGCAGCACCGAGTGCTGCCTTGCCCAGAACAACTCGCTGGGATTTCTCAGTTGCCAGACACACTCAGCTTTCCTCCTGCTCATCTCTTCTTTTTTCTCCAGCTGATGACGAGCAGTCAGAAGCAAAACGCGTCCCATGCTTTTGTTATTTCGGCCACAATGGAAGTATTTTTATCGTCTTGATATCGCATGGATATAAACCTCTCTTAATATTACTTTTGGAAAACGACGACTTCTATCGCATAAGTTCGAAAGCACAAATTCGCCGACAAAGCTTTTGTATTACTCATGTTTGAAGAACTCTTTCCTTAGCCTTTCCCCTGATCAAAACAGTGTTACGGTCCAGGGAAACTACTCGTGAACAGTCGCAATCCCCGAATCCCACACTGCAGATCTTTACTTTGCACCTGCACATCCGACTACCATAAAAAAGTCTACATTGCTCCCCTTTCTCTGGCGACGATTTCGGAATATTTTGTTACAACTTTACTTAGCACAGAACCGACAGTGAACCGACACAGAACCTTCCGCTGAGGACTCACTCACAGAGGATTTCTGAGATTCTAATTTCACCCATCTCAGTAGAGTAAGCTTTTCTACAACAGCTGTCACTCAAAAGATGGGCACAAACACACAGAGGTGGAACTTCCATATTCATGGACACTCATCCAACATTCCCTTGAGAGTCATACACCGTAACAACATTTACCAGGGGGTTTTCTCCACTAACTCAATGTCAAAAAACGCAGCTACGAGAACAAACTGTCGGGAAAGAAACCACTCACATCCAAGCTCCTCATCTACGTCTCGTTCTACACGATAATGATCTGCCCCTTAGTACCACAAAGCAATTGAAAGAAGATATTTTCCCTAAGGAAACGCATTAATCCGAGCCAGAGTGAGCGACGAACAGGAAGGATTTCAAAGCTCTACATATATTTTTGCACCAGAAATAGAATAGAAAGAACTTCCCACTGACGATGCATCTCTAAGAGCTGATGTGACTGTACCTGCCATTTGTAAAGACTAGAAGTAAACACAAACACTAGAGATGGAACTATTTAATCCATTTATCGAAAGCGGAAATGGCCACTTGACGACCCACAAAATAAAAAGCAATCTTCATGAGCGCCCTACCTCTACCACGCCATTGGGAAAAAGATCACAGCGGAAAAGGGCGCGGACATACAGACCTGCGGTGCGTCCAAGCCGGCGAGCGGCTCTCCCTTCACGGCGCTGCTGTTGGGGCTCGGCTTGTCACAGGAATCGGCGCCCAGAAGCTCCTCCGCCGACAGCACGGGCACCGGCGGCGGCGGCGGCCAAGCGGCCTCGGGCACAGCGCGGGCCGGCGCCGCCACGCACAGGTTGTAGGAGTAGGGCAAGGTGCCCTCGCAGAAGTCGGCCGGGAAGGCGGCGCCGGCCACCGAGAAGCGCTGCGCGCCCAGGCAGCGCAGCACGGCGGG